TTCATCTGAGTACGTAGTCTGGATTGAACTGGCGCATTGGCCGTAGTTCGGGAATATGGTAATGAAACTTCGAGATTTATATTAAACAGAGAATTTATTAACGAGCTAGGAATTGTTAACATACCTAGTAAATTCTTAAGTTTGAATTGTCGGTTTGTATGTTCATATGTGTGTTGGTTTGTAGCTCGGGAAGGGATTAATCAATTTGCATCAGACTTATTTCTTAAATACTGGGAAGAGAACACAGGAAGTCAAACCTCCGGAAAAAAAAGTGTCCTGAGTTTGATTCCCGGTGGGGATGGTTTCTTTAGCACGAAAGCTAAGCACGATAGAAGAATAGCCCGGGGGAAAAAATTGCTTCTTTCGGCAAGAGGGATACAGGTGCTAAAGTCACGAACCCACAAACTGTCCTCGTTACGAGCCGCGGTGAAGATGTTAGGTTAGCGATAATAGTAAGGGGCTGGAATAGTTAACAGTTATGTCGTACGGAAAGGGCAGTCTCATATGAGTCGTAAAACACGCAAGGAAAATAAGAGGACTGAGAAGTTCTGAGTGTAGTCACCCTCTGTGACTCGTGGCAGGTGTTTTAGTTTATATTTTTTTGTCTTCTGAGCAGTTCATTTCATCCCTCAAATGAGGGGCTTCCTACTAAATCCAATTAATCCTAATTCGTAACCACGGTAACCATGAATCCCGGTTTATGGTCGTCTATCAATTTACAGGTCGGTTTCGTTTGGGGCCCATTAACTACTTACGAGCAGACTGATAAATGCTTTGTTGGGCTGATTAAATCTGTAATCCCAGATTAAATATTTTATATTTTAATTTAAAACGAGATACTTGTCTACCTGAAAACATCAGTTCTAATAGAGGCTTTGCCATTAATAGGTAGACCTATACGTCATTGGGGAATTCTTCGCTCTATCTAGCAGCGCGCCACCAGGCCACTAAAACTAGAGGAATGTAAAAGTTTTGCTATGTAGAACGGCGGCACACTTTTTTTATTATTATAAATTCTTCAGAACTTGGTGGGCAAAGTGTAGAGTTACTGAATGTTAAAGCAGGTGGTACATATATTTACCACAGTGTTTTAAAGGGCTGATTGTCTGAGAGGAAACCACCTGCACGGGATGAGGCAGAACACAAGAAACACTGCAGAGAGCTAGCAGACACGTCCTAACCCGGAGTATAATTGCTTGTACGAGGTGCGAAGTGTTGTACTGAGATGTTTTGTGGAGCGTCTGTTATTAAAACGTGGGTTGGTGAGCCAAGATCAACAGCGGCTGCTACAATGCACGTCGTACCATTACTGTGGTCACGAAAGGTGGTCAGGCTTCGATGACTGCACAATTTTGGGCACAGAAGTTTGGAACGAAAGGCCTGATGACTGACACGTACTCAGCTTTCTCTTTTCTTTGGGCTGATATATTTTTTTTAGATGGTTTATAGCTAACATCTCACGTCATTTCTTTTCGATTCTTCTTGAGGAAAAAACATGGTCTACCTCGTGGGATGAAACTTTGTCAAAATTCGGCGTCTGTGATTATAGCCACATGTTGCATATAAATTGGCTGTTCACAAGTGACGGAAGGACAGACAAGAGCCACGGAATTTACTGGACGCCACAATTTTATGAAATTGGACAAAGCCTTTGGTCACAGTCAGTCTCATGGTTTGAATCTTCAGCCAATAAAATCTTGTGTTCATAGCCTGTGTCGGCGTTCTTGTACGTGCTGCTTGTCAAACGCGTGGTCTCTTAGGTGAAGAATAACAGTTTTGAGGTCGGTCGTTGTGCAGTTTTCTCCATGTGAATTGAAGTCGTCGCCCTGATGATGGAGGCAGCAAGGACCTTTGAAACGTCGGTAAACTTCTACCAGACTGCACGGCGCTGTAACCCAGAAGACAGCCATCTTCGGATTTCATTGTGTTTGAATGTGATTCGTATCACGAAGGACCGTTTCTGTGAATATGGAAACGCGAGTTATCTCATGCGGCCTGAAAGTGCAACGTGCACATGACAGGAGTAATATTTCATCCCGACACGAAGCCTCACGTTTTATTGTGCTGGAAAATGATCATAAGTAATTGTTTCGTATTCAATCGATAATTTTATAGCTTGATTTTCGACAGAAACATTAATAAATATTATTCAACAATAACGGATTACGCCTTGCAGTCATTTTTAAATTTACGGATAATTTTGAATCAATGGAACCGTAATTTACCCTCTTGCCTAATTAATCTAGCACTCAGAGATAAGAAATAATTTTTAGAAATGCCGTCATAATTAATTGGCTGTATATAGTTTCGTCTTAAGTTTCCCATTACTAAATAACCAGGGACAGACTGATAACTGATCACGAGAAACATTTCGGACTTGAAGAAACATAAACTGTTCAAAATATGTCGACAGCCAATGAAACATCAAATTGTAGTGGTGAGGAAACATCGTATGTCAACCGACAGTGACACGTTAAATGTTAAACGTGTTATTATGAGCGCATGAACATTCATCTTTATTATATTAATGTAAGCCTTATAAAATGCCAATTCAGTGAGGAAGTCAGTCACTTGATCGAAGTCAGTTTAAATCGTCCAGTTCAAATATGCTTAACTATGCCCGTAAGTTACCACAGATTCAGTGCGTTACTATAGAAACACAATGCAAATTAAGAAGTAGCATTGTAAATATTGTATAGAAAAACTATCATTTACTTAAATTGTTGCAGGTGTTTCCAATTAGGGACGGAGGTTAAAATTTGAAAAACCAAGTTTTGTAATAATGTGTTAAAATGGCGGTGCAGACACAATTGTGTGGGTTTCTTTCCTTTTTTGTTAGGCTCGTAGCAGTGAGACAGAACAAACTACTTTTTTACTCAACGAGAAAACTGGCCTCATCAAACGGACAGAGTCTATAAGCGAAATTTAACTTTTCAACACGAGTAGAACACTCTTTGCAAACGGCTACTTAAACTCTGCTATAATTTTCTCCTTATTAAAGTGTTGAGACTAAAACAAAATTTATAAGGAGCCTCGTGCTAAACTAATGGTAGCATCTTCACCTGTGTTTTCTGTGAAGTCCGGCCTAACTTTTGATATAGGTACCAATTTGAGCAAGTGGAAAGTGGTTCTGCGGGCAGGATCTTCAGCAGCACACACACGTGTTAAAATGGCGATGCCACTTCACTGAGGAAAGAACGCCCGCCCACTCTCGTACATTCTGTCTACATATAATTATTCAGTTTCGGCTCCCATGTAATGCGTAAGAAATAGTGAAATTCTGTCTTAAAGGCGAGGCTCTGATAGCTTGTCTTTTTTTTAAATCTGATGGACATTTAGCATCACGATGTGTGATCAAGCTTACCTGGGAATTTATGTTTCTAGTGAAGAGATATAGATTTATGAATTACTCAACAAAGTACGTTCATGCGTGTGCGATACATCAGTAAATCAGTGAATCTGCCCGTTCTTCGAAATTCTGTGACGATAACATAAATGCAAACGTCATTCTTGTCCACGTGCTTTAGCACCACCTAGTGGAGGCGTATGGCGGGGAGGGGGGGAGTGGACTAGAACTTGAACCTCACGTATTTCTGGCTTAACCCCACAGGATAGATTTCCCGCTAAGTATTTGACTGAAGACGGGCGAACCCTTGGTAATGTCGTGACGTTCCTCACTACACTCAGAGAAGGGTTGGTATGCCACCTTAAAATGAACCATGACCACTGCCCTTCTAGTTAGTAATTTAATCGTTTTGATCGGAAACTTAAATAACAAAATTAGTTGAGTTTGAGTAGTTTGCACTTGTGTTTGTAATGAGGAGGTTCTGGGTTCACTTCTCAGTCAGAATACAGACTCTCCTACTCTTCAGTCTCGCGGCAAGTCATATATTACGAAATTTTCTTAAATTAGGCCACGATCGCTTCCTCCCACATTATTTCCGCACTGCCATTCGAATTCATCTTCGCATTTATACGCTATTCTCACAAAAACTTGTCACTTGAAATAATGTCTTCAGATAAACCGTCATGGGAATGTAAATGTCCCAAACAACTTTCAGTTTATGGCGTCCCTTGGTATAAGGCCGGCAGTTTGACGTGTTCGTAATGTGTAATGATGGAGGATTGAGATTATAGCTGGTAGTCGGTCTGACCTCACGGACACTGTGGCGTGTGACCGCTGTACATTCCGTGCTCCGGGAAACCAAACAAACACAACTGTAAATATTATCAGTGGAAACTTGGAACACAATAAAATGACATTAAATAATTCACATAGGCGTGCTGAGATGGATATAATGATGGCTGCGAGAAATGTCTAAATGCAGTATCGGCTTTCTGTGGTTCTGCTTTTACGCACGGAAATTTCGTCCTGTAATTGCTCGTTTTAGGGACTTCGGTTTTTATTATCACAACATTTAAAATAAACACGTGTTATAACACGAATAAGAGTGTTATTAAAACGTTTCGTGTGGCAATGGTGAATTGTTGACAGTTTGGCATGTCGCATGAGACATTGATGTGCCAGAATTGATATCGAAGTTTTCTGAATTTCCTTTTCAATCGGAAATATTTTTTACACCAAAGAAACACACTGAGAAAGGAATGCATAAGTTGACTTAGGAAGAGAAGATAAGAGGACATATAGAGGATATAAATAAACTGTAGAAGTGAAATAAGCTGAAGGGAGATCGCAGACTAACTAATTTGTGTGAACAGAAGATGGAACAGTTTTTGTTGTGTCTTCCACAAACTACAGGTTGTCTTCCAGATAATGGGCGAGTGTGTTGGATATGAAATGACAAAAGGAAGATTAATAAGAGAGATAAAGGTGACATATGAAAAAAGGAAAAGCGGGCGTATGCAATAGAAGTTAAAGAAATGCGTGGAAGTCAGAGTGAAAATGAATTAAAGGAAAACGGGAATTGACAGAAATAAGAAGAGGAAATAATTAGAGAGAGAGAGAGAGAGAGAACATGCAGTGGGTGACCGGCCCCTACCTTTGTCTTGGAGCCGCCAATGGAGCCGGGGCGAATTGAGCCGGTCTCGTAGAAGCGGGTCAAGATCTTCGAGACGCAGCCGTGGGAGACGAGTAGCTGCCGGGAGATGTCGCAGGGACGCACTCCCATGAGCGCCAGCTCAACGATGCGACGACGCACGCAGTCCGGCAGAGGGCGCCCGTTCACGAACACCCCTCCCAGCTGGTTCACCCCTGCCTGACCTGAGGGTAACACGACACCACGGATCCTCAGACAAAACGTCCAGCGAAGTGGCTGCAATTTGTTCTCCTCACCAAATACTACTAGGATGGCGAAACTGAGGAGGACAGGGAAGATGATAAATGCATATAAAATTTTGCTTCCAGAGCCTGAAAGTAAGAGCTCACTGGTAAGACCCAGACGCAGATTGAAGGTTAATATTAAAATTAACACTAGGGAATAGAATATGAGCGTGTGTACTGGATTCATCCAGCTCAGGACAAGGTCCAGTGGCAGGCTCTTGTAAGCCTGAAAACTTAATTTCTAACTCGTTATAAACGATTTTTACACACTTCGTCAAAATATCCGGAAGAAATTTCCCCGTCTGTAGGCACTTCACGTTAGAAACATAAAACTTAGATACAAAATGGCATATTAATTGAGGCAGTTGTCACCCCGGGCAACGTCCTTCACAAAAAAGTGACCTCGTGCCTATAAAAAATGTCTGGCGTTATGGAACTTATCTGATGACATAAGTGATCGTTTTGATCATGTTATGTCCATAGTCAGGTGGCTGTGTAATCGGTTTATATCTACAGGGCGTTTAAAACATTTGTTGCCAGACATCGTATAGTGCAGAAAAAAGACGGTAGCTTTACTGGATAGGAAATTATGCGATTGAGTTTAAATTGGCGGATTTAGCAAAGAGAAAAGTACGTTGAGGAACCAACTAACTTCGAAGAGCAGAGAAGAAATTTTCCTCCTTTTATGGAAATTAAGATTCATTACCGTACAAGACCCATTTTAATATTATCCTCCCATCTATGCCCAAGGCTTCCGAGTGATGTTTTCCCTTCAGGCTTTCGAGCCGACTAATTTCTTATCTTTTCAATGCGTGTTACATGTCCCATCCGTCACATCCTCCCTGATTTGATCACCCTGACAATCTTTGGCGAGAAGTACAAACTATAAAGCCTCTCATTATGCATTTTTCTCTCCTCCCCACAAACTTTGTTTCTTTTATGTTTAATGTTCCCATAACGTTAATTCTTGCTTTCTCGTCCGATAGAAACATGCGAGAAGCGTCATATAGGCACGTTCTTCCATTTACGGTATCTTTTGCTGCAAAGTTCTATCCACACTGCGGTGTGGCTATTTAGCGTGGATATTATTATTGGTGGTGAAGATGGGGCGTACGTAAGAACAACATGAGATTTTAAGAAAGCCTGTCAACACACAGTTGGTCCATGGCGAGAAAGAACGGACCGAATTTGCCATGTAGCGGTTCCGCTGCACTTATTTCGAGGAAGTGCACGACGGTGAATAGCCGTCGAATCAGCTCAATGGACATAACATGTTTGTTACATTCGCTGCGAAAACTGTCTTTCAGCCTCATTTTCCTCATATTTTATATTTTATTATGTTCACAGTATCCTATCAGGGCTATTGTTTGTTAATGAGCAATTCTATTACTGAAGTTCTTGTTAACATGGCATGGCACATGTTCAATTAGGGATGAAAGATATGGCCTCAGGCTATGGAGGTAACTGGGGGTATCTTGAATATCAGCCACTGACAGGGGCGGAAAGGGGTGGATCTCCAGCTAGGGTATTAAGCAGGGGGTTAACAAGTCTTGGCTGTAAAAAAAATTTACGAAATCTTAAACATCGCCTCGGACTTGGTCAGATTCCGTGGAATGGCCCAAACAACGAAGTCTGGCCGTTTGGAACTTGGAATGGCCTTGATCCTGTCTAGTTCAGTTTATTTGAAAACAGGGGCAATTGAATTAAAATTGACCTAAAAGAATCAGGATGAGATCTTGTCCACAGGGACCGTTGCAAGTTCATTGTGAACATGGTAATGAACTTTTGCTTCCGTAAAAGGCGACTAGCTACGTGGCTATAAGCTCCTTAAGAAGGACTCATGACATTACGTTTCCGTGCTTTGCACGCATTTCTGATCTCCCCCACAGAGCGAACAATTTTGTGGATCTCAGAACGCCATGTATTACCATCAGCTTCGATCAGTTCTGTTCATTTTTCCCCTCTACGTGAGATGCTCTTTCCTTTTTTTTAAAAAAAGTTTTCAATAGCAATTTGAACCTCATCAGAACTAGGCTCAGGTAGCTAGAGCTCATCTGTGTGCTTTTAAATCACGATAAACAGAAAGACAGGCAGTGCACAACGTTTTGAACCTTCCTATGAATGTGATAACTTCATAATTGCAACTTATGACTAGGGTTTGCCTATGAATGCAGTGTTAATGTGGTGGAAGACTGAAACGGAGGGCCAGCGGACCGATACAGGTGTACATTTTTTTTTTTCAAAAAAGTTTCCTTCTAGATTGTTTATGGGTGATTTAACGTCTTTTATCCCCGGTTAATTTTATGTTTTGCCAGTAAAGAGGCGAGGCTTTCTAAAAACTAGAATAAGCCAAACTGGAAGACACACTCCTCCTGCAGTCCAATAATATACCCACAAACTGTTAATTGAAGGGAAAACTCTAATAAATTTTGTAAGCGCACGTTTCTATGAAGCGGTAACTACTATGTTAACTGAAGAAGAGTGACATTATTAGCCTTGTTGTAGTGTATTTTAGGAAAGCGTAATAGCCTATTTGTTATTTCCCATTAAAAGTATCAAATGAAATATGTGTAGACCTACCTTGAGATACCAATCTCGAAAAGCAAGGTGTATCCCACAGCCAGGTAAGCCTTTTGAAAGGTGCATCCATTATCTTTATTGGCATCATATTTTGAAATTAGTGTTGGTGAAGGTATAGTGGTGAAGGGAAAAATAAGAATTGCATAAAAATATCTCGTTGATTACTTCATATCTAGGAGAAGTTAGTGCAAGTAAATTGATAATAACTTATTTGGTGATGGGTATGAATCATGTAGCTTGTCATTATGCAGTTTTCTCCACCTTCCGCTTACTTAATCCCTTTTAGGTCCAAATATTCTCATCACAACTCTGTTCTTAAACATCCTCAACTTGTATTTTTCCCTTAAAGTGAGGGACCAAATTTTACACCCTCAAAAAAGTTAGTCTTGTATATTTTAGTTGAAACATCTACTAACCACATGACACAGTTTATTCTGAAAGTTACATTATATTAGGAGAATTACTAATGCCAATATACTACTACAGTGAAGATGCTTTTGAAACCTTAGTTTTACAGCAACTGTAAGTAGTATAAACTGTTTATTAGAAGTAAAATCATGTATATCTAAAATACTGGTAAATTCCGGTCCTGTGAATCATTTGTAATGCTGTCTAAATATATTTACACATTACCACTACAAACATCTGTAAATATGGGATATTAGTATCGATGCGTTCTCCAGTCGATACTGATTGGTATGTCGATGAAAACTACTTTACACAGCTAGGTCTGCGTTTCAATTTCAGGTCCGACAGTCAAGCTCGCGCTAAAAGAATTATAATTCAAAGGCAGCTCCTCCGTAAATATCTTTTTAAGTTTTATCTTCACTGACGATAATGATGATGGGCGATGTCTTAGGTTTTAATTACATCCTCCCCTATAAGCCCATAGATTTGGGGGTTAATTTGACGTGAAGGAGATAGTTTGATGTCGGTCGGGAGGGACGACCTTGCTACCTGTCCCTCCGTTGCTTTAGATTGAAAATATATCAATTCGGAAGTTGGAAAAGCCAGTAACTCTTGCCTTCCCTTGGGTGCAACGCCCAATTTCACTTTGTGTGCAGTTAACAGAAGACCCACATTACTGGCATTGTCGCTTTATTGGTTTGCAAGTTATTTAACGTCACAGTTCCAAATGAAGTTATGTACTGAATTCTACTCGAAGATGATATCGATTCATGGATGATTGAGTAGGCAGAGTTTTCGAAACATAGGGCATCTTCAGCAGTTTCATTAAAACTGAGACGGCAGCTTGAGGATTGCATTTGCAGGAATTCTTACAACATGAAGATGGTTGTCTTCTGGGAGTTTAA